AAAAGAGGTTGAATTGAAGGAAGAAAAGAGAAATGGAGGAGAAGACTTGGCAAAATTGGAGAGAACCAACTAGGGTTTCTTGGGAAGAAGGAGCTTCCAGTGCCTATAAAAGGGAGGCACCTTCTACCCAACAAAATAACTCATCGAAAGCAAGCAACCACATCCAGATAAAGCAAGCATCACCTATCATCCTTGGAACCTTTCAATTTCAAGCCCTATTCCTCCATCTATTCCCATTTTCTCTTTTGGCAAGCCATTCCAGAGCCTGACGAAACTTTCGTCAAGCTGCTGGAAATCTACTAAAGCCACCCATGCTTTCATCTTATTCCTCTCTTCCCCATAAACACATACAGAGAGAGCAAGCATCACCTCTCACCTATGGAACCCTTTGATTTCAAGCCATGTTATTCCATTGCTTCCCTTTTTCTCTTCTATCAAGCCACTCAAGAGCCTGACGAAGCTTTCGTCAAGGTGCCAGAAACTTGCTCAAGCCACCCATTCCTCTTCCTTCATTCTTTCCTCTCTTTCCTCAACAAATCCTCTCAAAATTCCCTCTCCCCCTTACTTCGAGCCTTTGTTTCTCATAGGAAACCCAAGCCCTCTCTCTCTCTCTCATGCTAAACTCATGAATGCTCAACTTCTATGCCACAAGCTTCTCATGCCAAGCCTAAATATTTATCTGTAAGCAACTGTTGGTTTTGTTGGTGAAGGAAGCCAATGTGTTCCCTAGGACTCCACAAACCTTTCGAAGCACTCTTGGGGCCTGATTCTTGAACTCAAACACATAGGCAATTCTAGCCATTTGCTCTTTATAGCAGCCCAGGCCCATATATAGCTGCCGGAACGAAAAAGCCCCCACATGTAGAAAAGTTCATCGAGGTATTTATGGTTGACTTCATTTGATTCATGCCTTAACAGTTTGTCTCTATTTTTGAAAAGATGCCAGGAATGCAACTAAATCCTTAATTGGGAGAAGTGCCATTTTATGATACAACAAGGAATTGTTTTTGCGCATGTGATTTCAAGTAAGGACATTGAGGTTGACAAGCCTAAAGTTGATGTGATACGTAGCTTGGCACCTCCATCATCAGTGAAAGAGATCCAATCCTTCTTAGGACATGGAAAGTTTTCTAGAAGATTCATCACAGAAGCACTAGCGGAACTACTCCAATGACTTAGGTGAGTTGTAGAACAGTGAAATTTTTGGGGGAAAAAAATCAAGCCTATACTTGAGTTGTTTAAATATAGCCCAATATTTATTAGCCTATTAAAAGTCAAAAAGGTCCAATTCTTTATCAATTTAGTTATAGACCAACAATAAAAATACACATTACAATAAAATAACTTATCAATTTGACAACCTCCTCCCCCTACAGAGACCACGACTTTTTGTTTTCTCAATCCCAACAAACACTTCGACTTCGACTGAAGGGTAAAGTTCTTAACCCTAACTCTCCAACTTGTTAAAACAACTCTTAGCAACAAGATGAAGAACGAGTTTCTATTAGATTATATGATTGTCTACAATTAAAAAATATTTACTTATTGATTCAAATGCAATAACAAAAAATTTCAATTCTCTCAAAGATTGCATGACACAACTTGAATAGGTACACTTTTAATTATGTTGTTAAAATATTTTTTGGTCGCATTTAATATGTATTTGTTTTATGGTAAAGTTTATTGAAAATTAGTTAATGGAGCTAGTAACTAGTGTGATTTATATAATTTAATGTATACTTTTATTTATAAAATGACTATAGAAATGATAAGCACAAAAAAATTGATCATTAGATTTTAAGCTAATTTTAACTAGCCTACCCGTTAAAATATTCTTGTTCGTCCTTATACCAAAGTGCATGCACTGAAGGACGTATTGCGTGAGCATTAACTTTAGGGAAAATGAAAAGGAGAATTGCTCCCACAAAAATAAAAAAGAAATGATGAAGAAAAAAAAGGAAGGTTGACATAGTTTCAGAGGGTTAATCCCAACAATAATATTGGGAGACCAACTCTCTAATAGAGTGTGAGACCCATTGTATTGGTGGGCTCCACCTCTATTAGAGAGTTGGTACTGTTAGAAATGTGCCCTAAGAGCCAATACATTTGATGTGATCTCCTTAGAATACATTTCATATATGATATATAAAGGGCAAACTTAATTTGTTATCTTTTACATCGTGTAAAGAAACAAATGTCCAGGGTATGCTAAATAAGAGATAAAGTACTCTAAAGAAGATTAGATTCATGAGACCTTTAATCTCTAATTGTAGTATCCCAAAATGTTCCTAATCATAGGTTATCAAATAGGCATTGATAAACCGTTAAGATTAGCGCATATTATGTATGCTCAATTGGGAGGATGGTTAGTCTCAAACCATTTGTGTAGTTGACACTAATACAAGTATGTGGGTGCTCATTAGTGAATGAGTACACTGAACGCGATCAACCGTAGTTCTCATATGGAGTATTTATCTACATGTCAAATGAGAACTCATAGTTGCAATAATACAAATTAGTCCTTAGACCTGAGGCATCATGGTTGGCCTGTGATGCGTTATTGATCTTTGATAGCTCTTAAAGGCAAGCCGTAAAAGATTTGTCTTAAGTGTTATTGGGATCTCTTAATTCATCATAGGGGCATGTGAATGTACAATAAGGAATCTCTACTTTCGATAAAGAAGGAGAATGTTTCAAGATGTGATTCAGTAAATCTTTGGCCAAAGTATTTGAGCTTGATTTAGAAAGTTGTTCTTAATCACGTTCTTTTGAATCACATGAGGTTATAAATCATATTAGGGGTTTGACATAAACAATCCATACCCTAATAATATGATTTGAAACATTGTATAAGAGAAGGACCATATTGCATTGCAATTCCAACTGAATAGGTTCTTCATCTATTCGTGTTAGCTTGGGTAGCCTTGATATATTGCTAGATGTCACTCTTGGCTTGTGAAAGTCCTAAGATTGATTGTGATCGATCCAAATAAAGGAAGAATTAAAAAAGGGTTTTAATTCCAGTTGGTTAGAAAGAGTTCTAATATTTTCCCACTACCTTGCTAATTAGAACCTAATGGATCGCACACCTTAAATGGTTAACTTTGAATAATACAAATGAGAATGAGGAAATCAATTTGATTGATTTGATGTGGATGATTTACTACATGTAAAAACGTATTTGGGCTAAGTAATAGTTAACGGAAAGCCCAAATGGTTGGGTATCAAGCCCAAGGGCTTAAGACACCTAAAGATTATGGTTTAAGTGTCATAAGGCCCAATTTTGGAAGCCCAATGAGGTTTGGCCGAAAATGCTTAAGTGAATGTGTATGAGAATTGTTTCCATAAGCTCATTAACACACAAACACAATCCAACATCAACAAAATGGGTTTGGAAGATCAAAGAGAGAAAAAAGAGAGTTTTCAAGAGTGAAACACTTTCATCTTTCAAAGTGGTTTAGATTGAAACCAATCTTGAGAATCTTGCACTAGCATCCAAGTATTCTCAAGATACTTCTTCTCATCTCAAGGTTCCATTGGTGTGGAGACTTAGAGGCCATATACTTTTGTGGCTCACATGGAGGAGAAAGATCAAGGAGCAAAGATCAAAGATCAAAGATCAAAGAGGAGATCAACAAAGAGGAAATCATCAAGAGAAGACCAACACACAAATTGGTTCATATAATTGCTTCAAGGGTAATTAGATCTTATCCTTTCTCTTGAATTTCCATTTATGAAAAACATATCAATGTTCATGGCTTAAGATACTTGGAAGAAGTTTTGTTTTTGAATTTAAACAACCACCATAGACTTCCGTTGCGATTAATTTGATTAAATGCATGTTTAATATTCAAATGAACTTTGGAAAAATATTTTGAAATTCCTACAGGTACACAAGTTGGTATCCCAAGTTGGTCTCCCTAGCATGACCCATAATATTAAATGGGCTCGTGTTGCATCAATTGTTTGTGGGAAATGAAGAAATCGGAGGAAGAGACCGAAAGTGATGACCACTTCTCTGAGTTCGTTAAAACTCGGCCACCCTAAAAAATAAACAACATTAATAAATTAAATTAAAAGGTTTCCAACGCTTGCTGATGTGGAAAATCTATTATTAATCTAATCAGGAAGCTAGTATACTAGTAGACTAGGGATTCCATTTCCTTTTCTAATTCATATTCATATTCCTATGGGGTAAATCATTCTTGTTTGTACCATATATGATCCTCTACTCATACAACGACATGTGGATCATGGGGACTCACCCAAGTACCCAAGGCCTTGAACAATCGGTATCGGCTACCGATGGCATTGTCTCAAAGCTACCAACAGCTGCTACAGGCCCATCCCGTCTACAATCGGTGCCCCCTACCGATTCTGCACAATCAACCTCGAAGCACCCGCCCGAAATATCTAAGGACTCGTGTCAACCTCACAGGGCCCTCCCACGAGTCCCACATCGAAAGAAAGTACTAAGAGCATACAAAATGCCCTCTATAAATACACCCCTTCACCACAGTACAGGGGTAAGACTTTTCAGCTTGACTTATATACTGATATATTGTCAACAACAAGAGCTCTTAGAAACCAAACTTACTTCGGCATCGGAGGGTCTTAGGCTGGTTCCACACCGGTTCCATAGACCTTACGAGGCTCGACTTCTTTCTATTCAGGATCAGCATCCAAGGACAGGAAGAATCGGCATCCAACACTCAATCGATCTCTCGATCGTCCATCTCGCCTGTAAGTTGCACTCATCTCTATCTGTTCAGTTTTAGTGCCAACAATTCTAAACAAAATTACTATTCTCAGTAGCCAGTAGGGTTTTTATTTATGTTCTTGTTGAAATAGGACTTTGCCTTTATATATCCCCTTGGTTCTCCCTACGGTTTCTCTCGATCGATATGTTACAAATTTGCTGCGTGTTCTGAGTCAGAATGGATGATGAATCGAGTGGTACGGTGGTGAAGCTGCTAGTTCGTGGTAGAAAATGATATCGAATGCAGTTATATACTTCAGAGCCAGAAAAGAAGAAAATTAGGAAGGTATTACATGGAAACGTCCTGGTAGAAATTCTCTCAAAACTGCCTGCCAAGTCTGTACTCAGGTTTAGACGCGTCTTAAAAAAGTGGTATGCTCTCACCAAAACTTCTTATTTCATTGCTAGACATGACCTTCATCGTCGCTCTCGCTCCGCTCAGAATCATGGTCTTCTCCTTGTCTCGACATATCTCACCAATGAAAAATCTGACAGACTTCTAATGATGTCATTGCATCCTGATGATGAAGAATCAAAACTTTTGCCTACTTCTTTCCTCCCCATCCCGAAACAGATAACCTTAAGCAGCGGGAAACTTTTTGGCTGTGTGGGATCTAGTAATGGTTTAGTTCGTTGTCTTCTGCTGCCCATTGAGAATGAGAATGAAAAAGAGAATAGTACAACTGCAGAGGTGGAGGAGGAGGAGGGAGATGTAGAAGAAAAGGATGCTGCTCCTGCTCCTGCGCATACTGATATATTAGTAGTATGGAACCCAGCAACAGAAGAATTTAGGTATCTCCCGCAACCACCTATTAATCCTTTTGAGAAGGAGGAGGGCATTGGCATTGACATACAACGGGATCGTCATAGGAATTATGTTTTAGGTTTTGATTTCTTACCAAAGATTAGTCAATACAAAGTGGTGAGAGTTTTCCCGGCACCTCATCCCGGTAATGATCCCGATTCTGACGATGATGCTGATGGAAAAGTTGCCATTTTCCAAGCCCAAGTGTTGCTCCAAAGTACAAATTCATGGAGAGATGTCAAAGACAAATTAGAGTTTCCATCATTTAAAAGTACTTGTCTAACATGTGATGCGATTACCTTGAATGGAGTGATGTATTGGTTGGCAGAGCAATCGTCGAGCGAGTTCTATCTCGTGTCATTCAATTTACGTGATGAGGTTTTTCATTTGATACCACTACCAATAGAATGGCGCCGTCTTAATGTTCAATATTATTTACATCCGTGGAATGGTTCAGCTGCAATTTTGACTAGTTATTCAGAAAATGGCGATTAGGAGCGAGTGCTTTGGGTGTTGGTTCAAGATCAAGAATCTAAGAAGCCAGCTTGGGTTCAACAATTTAGAACCAGATCGAAAATATTTTCTGAATTACGGTGCATAGGAGCTTAGAAGGATTAATATATTGTCTCCAAACGATCACGAAATAGCTTGTTTGCTTATGACCCTAGAAGCGACACAAAGAAAAAGCTTTTTCCCTACAACCAAATCTGTTTTTTTGGAGGACTGGATTATGTGGAGAGCCTACTTCCAGTCTAGACCTAATTAGTTAATTTGTATGTAGTTCTATGCGATATCAAAGTTGTCTCACACGTATACATAAGTGGACATACGTACGAGGAGATATATACATACATACATATGTGGATGGATATCAATTAATTCTAGCTATAGGCTGTTGTTTGCATTTCATGTACATGTATGTATGTAGCAACTTACTCTTAATTAATTCTAGCTATAGGCTTTTTGAAGCACCGTGTTAATTGATTTTGTAGGACACAATTAGATGTCTAAACGGTTTCCGATTTGTCTAATTTTTTGCAAGGATGGTCTATGAAGAGACCTAAAAAATAAATTATTTGTATTGTTGAAATTTTTTTTGTAAAGTACCCTAAAGAGCATTATTTGAGGAATCCGTCAATACATATATATATATATACAGAGAGCATCCAATGAGGGATCTCTCAAATGAGTTTATTTGAGGGACATCCTTGTAGGGCCCACTCCACATTGTATTTCACTAATCCAAATAATTTATTTTTTAGATAATCATTTAAAGATCATCTCTACAAAAAATCACTTGAATCTGATATCATTTGACCACTCAATTGAGTTATTGAAATTTTAACACTTTCTTAAAGCACCGTGTTCATTGATTTTGTAGGATACAATTGGATGTCGAAACGGTTTCCGGTTTGTCTAATTTTTTGTAAGGATGATCTATAAATGAAAACTTAAAAAATAGATGGTTTGGATTGTTGAAAAAATAAAATCTTAGGGGACCCTAAAGGGTGTCCATCAAATTATTTGAGAGATCCCTTAATAGAAAGGGACTGTATATATATTTATATATACTATTTACTCTAAATTGGTATTGGTACGTTTTTTGTGAAATCTGTTCGATTTAATGCATTAGTTGTTGTAAATATATTAGTTTGGGCCCACATGCAAACAAAGGACAATATGGGCCCCAGCTGGACGCATGTGTGGAAGAGACTTTTGGGCCGCATGTAAGGCCTAAATCTTGTGGCAGAGATTTTGAATTTGCAATATTATCTTTTTAAAATTGAAGTGAACATCTACCCTCCCATCGAACGACGAGAATTGTTTTTTGACTACATCTAAGTTAGTTTCCTTTTCCCCATTGAGGTTGCTCCCTAATCTTGCTTGTGTTCATCAGGGAAAACATTGGAAAAATTGTGTTGGATAAAATTGTTTCCTAAACCTCAACCGGGGGACGAACACTTTACAGCACACACTCCAGAAATTCCAACGCCACATGTGACCAAAACCAAACATTAAGTCTTACGCCCCCAAACAACTTTATCACATGCTGGATAATCCAACACCACGTGTGATAAGCTAACAACATAACCATATATGCCCACATGCCGAATAACCCAACGCCACATGTGGGTACAATAACCAAGGGAGGGAACATAGCATGGTGTAATCCCATATTCACATAACCAAACAATAAAGTACCCAAACTCATATTTATCTCTTGTCCAATCATATATAATCACAAGGTGAATAACAATTTCCCAACTTATATAATCCATAATCCGAAAAATCATAACTTCAAATATCAACATAGTAGAAGAATTGAAAATTCCACGATATATATACATATATCCTTTCGGTAACCATGAAAATTCATATAAGATGCCGAGTAATTTAATCAATAAAAATAATGTTATTTCTAACAATGTCTACTCACAAGTAGTCCCACACTGAGAGGGTTCCACATGCTGAGTATGCGTGGTCGGAGCACCTACTTCAAAATATGAGTACAAAATTAATATAAAATGCTTCGAATGAGAACTTTAAATTAAATTCCTAGTTTCTCGGGTTTCAAGTATGTGTACTAGGAACGAGACCTCCTAAGGTCTAATTACGTGTTTCGAATGTTGGAATAGCCTCGGAAAACGCTCAGTCAACCGAGTGGTCAAACTTTCCATAATGGATCAATCGGGCCCATGACCTCCGATTTCTGATCCGAAAGTTCTTATGGGTTCAACAATGTTTAATAAGCATGTCCAGCAAATTTGGCCCGAAACAAACGGTTGGATCGCTCACGATCGGACGATTATCAATTAACGCAAACTTTAAGTCAGTATTATCAAGAAGACTACCAACACAATTTCTGAAGAAAGAAAATGACATATTTTCAAAGTGTGGAATTCGAGAAAGCATATAGTTGTCAAAGAAACGATAATTACCTAGAAAGATGACATCTCATATCCTCTTTTGACACTGTGGCCACCTCCAAATAAGATACAATTTGAACAAAAAAGGATTTCACGCAACAAACATAAACTTGAATCCAACAAATGCATAGGTTCGGATTCTTTCTATTTTTTTTTCTACTTTCATTAAAGAACATAAAATTAATCAAAGACAAAAAAAAGTAATGATTGTAAGAGTTACCATCACCTGGAGCATAGAATACCACCGCTTGGAAATGAAAAGAAGCTAAACAAAATCAATTTCCTATTTTGCCATACACAATCAATCGTTAGAAATGCAAATTTGTCCTATTTTCCTCCATTTTCTCGGAAACCAGACGGAATATGAAACGCAATAAATAACACATTTCTAAAGCGGAAAATCAAAGGAAGCTAAAGACAAACCTTGGAGGAAGTGTCGTAGAGAGAGAGATTGTGAAGCACAGAGAGGGTTGCGTGCTGTGTAAGTTGCAAAGAGCTAGAAAGTGTGTAAGAGAAAGAGACCCTAGCAATGTCTTAACTAGCTTGACCTTCGTTGAATAGTTGGACCCCACATCAACACAAATCAAAACCGTTTCGCACGTGCCATGATAGGACCCACCCCGAATTTCTCGAAATCCGGGACGAATCCAGTGAAAGCTCCGACATCATACTGATGACGGTCCCACTTACTAAAGACATGAGACTTTCTGCCGAAGTCTCCCTTGAAAATTGGACACTTCCCAAATTTCTCAACTTGTTAAAAACACATTTAATATCACCAACTGGTAGCATGCACAAAATAAATTCATGCATTTTATATCAATGGCCTTCGGCCTAAAAATCAAACCCTAGTACGAGCAATAACAAAGGAATATAAGAGTTTCGGTTTACAAATAGTAATAAAGTTTAACATGACAAAAATGAACAAAGCTTATCATACTGAAGCTCGAGATTTGAAAGTTCAGGGCTCGGCTATGCTATTCAGCTCGGCCAACTACTGTCTGGGGGGCGCAAAGCAGAAAATATGTGAGTGGACAAAAACAAAGTTTGATTTAGTTTGCAAAACAACATACCAACCCCACCGTTTGGAAAATAATGCCAAAAACATGCAATTGATACCATATCTACATAATAGTTGTGAGATAAAAAATGCTCTCACTTCCCCGAGAACATATAATAACATCCAAACCAAAACTTTTGACTCCAGTCCAAACGTTCCCGAATAATAGACTTATTAACGACATAGGTAAAAATGACTTCAAAAATATTTCATTTATACATTTGTATATATATATATACTTTTATAAATAGTTATGTAACCATAAGCTACTATAACACATACTATATAAGTATATACCTCAAATACCATAAGTATACGAGGTATACGATATATATATTATATATATATATATATAAATATAAAAGAGTATCACACCAATTTGAGTACCAAGGAAAACAATCCAATAGGGGGATTGTTTGACTAGTCCACAAGGTTTCAACTTTCTATCCAGCGTCTAGGGATGAGCAGTCCAACCGGGGGACGAACACTCTAAAGCACACACCACGTGTGGCCAAAACCAAACACTAAGTCCTACGCGCCCAAACAACTTTATCACATGCTGGATAATCCAACACCACGTGTGATAAGCTAACAACATAACTATATATGTCCACATGCCGAATAACCCAACACCACGTGTGGGTACAATAACCAAGAGAGGGTACATAGCATGCTGTAATCCCATATTCACATAACCAAACAATAAAGTACCCAAACTCATATTTATCTCTTGTCCAATCATATATAATCACAAGGTGAATAACAATTTCCCAACTTATATAATCCATAATCCGAAAAATCATAACTTCAAATATCAACATAGTATAAGCATTCAAAATTCTACGATATATATACATATATCCTTTCCGTAACCATGAAAATTCACATGAGATGCCGAGTAATTTAATCAATAAAAATAATGCTATTTCAAACAATATCCACTAACAAGTAGTCCCACACTGAGAGGGTCCCACATGCTGAGTACGTGTGGTCGGAGCACCTATTTCAGAATACGAGTACAAAATTAATATAAAATGCTTCGAATGAGAACTTTAAATTAAATTCCTAGTTTCTCGGGTTTCAAGTATGTGTACTAGGAACGAGACCACCTAAGGTCCAATTACGTGTTTCGAATGTTGGAATAGCCTCGAAAAACGCTCGGTTAACCGAGTTGTCAAACTTTCTGTAATGGATCAACGGGGCCCACGGCCTCCGATTTCTGATCCAGAAGTTCCTATGGGTTCAACAATGTTTAATAAGCATGTCCATCAAATTTGGCCCGAAACGAAAGGTCGGTTCGCTCACGATCGCACGATCGGTCGATTATCAATTAACGCAAACTTTAAGTTATTGAATCGGAACATTCGGGGCTTTGATTCACGATCCTTGAATTCCTACACAATCATAAGGATGCCTAGATCAACATATATTAAATTGGAGTCGATCCAAGTGGAAAATCTCCAAACCGCTGGTCAAGACTTATACCTACATCATCAGGACATTGAGTG